TTGATTTCTCATTGTAGAGTTCATTTGAGGACAGCGTTTGGTGATGTCGCCCTTAAGCTAGAGTACCTGTGTGATTGTGAATGTGAAGACCTTGAGTACCAGGTGAACTGAAAATGATTAGTCCTTCGGATACAGTTATCCACTAACTAGATTATATTTCGATTTTATCAGCTTGATAAGGGTAGTACTATTCACCATTTGTACTACTTAGTTCAGGTAACTGAGCTATCACACATGAACGTTTTGCTTTTTTTTAGGAACCAAAAAGTAACCATTGTTCGTCAAATGGATCGTTGATCTGTGGTATCTGCAAGTGTGATGATGGATGGTAAGTGACATACTCTTCTACCTCATATTTCCATTGTGTAAAAGGGTTGACAATACATTTCCCTTTTCTCTAGGTCAGGGAGACTATGTAACTGTGAAGCTGGAAAAGAATTCAACACGTCATTGTGCCAAACGTATGTTTATCGGTCTTTCCAGTTTGTTGTGAAACTCTCTTTTGATTAACACTGAGTTTTGTTCTTAGGAATCAGGCAACTGGACAGATATGCAGTGGTAGAGGAGACTGTTATTGCGGCGAGTGTCAATGCAAAAAGAGTAACGTAATGATTACATTCCTTGTTTGTCAACTCCAGCATGTGTAGCTTTGAATAACCAGATGAATGAGATCTGTAAACTATTCTTGATTCAATTGTTTTTCAGACTCCTGGTGAGAAATTCTACGGTGAAAACTGCGAGTGCAGCAAYATCAACTGTCCTCGGAATAAGGACGATAAATTGTGTGGAGGTAAAATTCAAAATGGACTTGWGAGCTTCGTATGTCTCCGACTGACTAAAAAAAAATCTCGACAGGCCCAAAACAAGGGATGTGTGACTGTGGAGAGTGTAAATGCTTTGGGAATTGGACAGGACCGAGCTGTAGTTGCAGTGCAGATACTGAAGGGTGCATCAAAGATGGAGTAAGACTGGAATTAACCTTATTCCCATTTCCTTGCCCTATTACCTACTGGTAGTTGTTTTGCAGGTTATGTGTAGTAATCGAGGGTCATGTGTCTGCAATCAGTGTTCATGCAATGGTTCAACAACCTGTATTGGTCCACACTGTGAACCCGTACCCGTGAGTATCATATGGTTTTAGTTATTACGATGGATTATACTGCTAACCTTGTATAGCTTCTGYAGGGTTGTCTAGGTCTTTGCGAGGCTAATAAGGATTGTGTCCACTGCAAAATGTTTGAACGATCAGAATGCGACAAGCAACTCAAGTGCGACACAAAAAACACAAACATGATCATCGTAGAAGAAATCGATTCGTGTGAGTAAATAGCTCTTGGACCACACCCTTTTAGATGATTTACGTCTACTAAATCCTTGGCCTCGATAGGTTGCAAGCTAGGGAGCTAAAGGAAATATTTAAAAAAATCACACTTTTATCCCGTTATTTTTCAGCTATGGGAGAGACGTGCGACTTTATAGATAATGAGGATTGCCGTTATTATTTTGCGTATAAATATTCACCTGATAGCAAACTACAGATTTATGTAAAGAGAAAGAAGGGTATGTGGAGCTTTACTACTGAAATAAGTTAAACGAAAGAAAACACTCATGATAATCTAATCTATTATGTTATGGTCAATACAGAATGCGAAGATGACTTGGAGCCTTTGGTGGTCATTCTAGCCGTGATTGGTGGAATTCTAGCAATTGGACTAGCACTTCTCTTGATATGGCGACTTCTAGCTACAATTCAGGTCAGACTACACTGATAAATGAATTGCGTATTCACTCTAGTTTATACATTTAACATTTGTTATAGGATCGTCGAGAATTTGCAAAGTTTCAAAAAGAAAGACAAAACGCAAAATGGGACACGGTGAGTATCTGTTGATCAACTCATCTGTCGTGCTGTGATCTAATGATCGGTATCCGATTTCAGGGCGAAAATCCCATCTTCAAGCAAGCCACAACCACCTTTCAGAACCCAACATACGGAGGAAAAGGCTAGGCCTTGGGCGACCATGTTTAAGATGTATAAATTCAGATCAAACCGATTTTCGCGTGAAATCACTAGACCGCAGTTTAATAAAACTGATAAAAGAAGATTGCTTACATCATAAAAAGTTGTGTAATAAAGTTAAGGAAGAGTTCTAGTTTCTAGCAGTTAATTAGAAATAGCAACCAGTATTTGGTATTATTTGGCTGTACTGGGTATTCAGCAAAGAAGAGGTGTTTCCTTATTACTTGCAAAAAAGAAAAACGTTTTCTTCTTTATTGCAATGTAAATCGAAAAAAACGAATGGAAACATTTAAAAACGCTCACAGGCCATGTTATGGATGTTTGTTTTACAGTTGAAATCATATTGGAAAACTTGTGCACTTACAACAAAGCAAGGCGGCGGTTGAGCTTGCATTTTTATGAATAAACTATTGTCCCAGATGTGAAAACAAGTTATAAGATACTACAAGCTCTATTGTTGTTTCCCTTTAAAGCACTCCTT